ATTGAACAAGAGATGGAATCAGTGGAAAAAGGAAGGCGATGGACAACCATAAATATGTGTGAGTCCAAAATCCAGACTACAAGTTGAAAGGTGAAGACAAAAAAAATACAAACATTGCAAACATTGAGAACTGGGCTGCCCACTATCACATCTGGAGCTTCTACTGTGTTTAAACTCTACCCTGAACTACCTGACTGTTTGAGGTCGCCTAAATCTGACAGCTCACCTGGGGACGCCGGTCATCCAGTGAACTTGAATTCAGTGATAATGGACATCACACCTAAACCACAACCTGATGCAGAGAGAGAAAAACAACAGGATGCTGGTGAACAGAGTGCAAAGGAGAAGCTATCAAGAGATTGGTCGGACATGACTACCAGCCAAGCAAACTCAAACTGCACAGATGTCAGGCAACGAAAACACATGGAGGCTGGGGCCCTGCTCTGAAGCAGATTCCCCCTGTTCTACCTATAATATAGGAAGGGGTTTTGGAGGGAAAACCCCTTCCTTCCAACAGACAAGCTACAAAGAGATCCCACACTGATTCCTCGAACAACAACTCAGGAGATTCAAGGAGGAGAACAGCAAACTAGAAGAAAGGAGAGGATGAGTGACTCAGACCATGAGAATCAATAAGAAAGCACTGACAACGATCATGAGGAGGAGACTGTGGCTCTCAGTAAGACAGGCCAGGAAAACTGAGAGGCGTTCAGTCCAAGGAGAAATCAAAGCTGACCAAACAAATAAAAAGGACAAAGACGGGCTTGCTGAGTGCTGAAATGATGCCACGAATGGAAGCCAATGAGTCCTTGACTGAATATCTGGAGCGAGTAGCCAACCTCTGGCAACATCATACAGGAATGTGACACGATAGGAGTGAAGCAGCTGTACATTTGTGGAGAAAGCAGTGTGAAATTGGTCTGCCAAGATCTGTCCAAGACTCTGTTGATGGAGTGGTTGGATTGAGTGTTATGACGGATTCGTTGTGGAGAGAGCACTTGGAACATCATGTCCGGAGACACATCAGAGAGGAAGACGAAACAATGAACTGGAAGGCTGCTTAAGCATCAGAAGGAAGGAAAGAACTCAAAGGTCAACAACAACAAAGTTAAGGCCAAACAAATGCAGGCTGTGTTTGTTGACTTAAAAGCAGAAATAAAACAAGCTGTGGCTGCTGCATTGGCTACACAAACAAAGCCCGAGTGTAAACCACGGTGACAACAAGAACAAGGTTAAGGCCCAAGATCTGCACAAATGTGGAATGTCGAAAGAGGACGCTTCAGAGGGAAACACCAGCCAGAAGTTTTTTTCTGTGTTTCTGAAAAAGACGGAATTGTAAATGCCGTACTTTTTCAAAAAAAGGGAGGGAGAAAGAAGAAGATTGGAACAACATGGAAAATGGACAAGAAAAATCAGCGGAAAATCAAAAGAGCTCAAAATGCATCCACTTAAACACTAGCAACAATGATAAAGATCTACAGAAGTTTTGAGGACATCAAAATGGATTCTACAGACATGAGGAGCTGACAAAAAGACAATAAAGAACATTTGACATCAGTCATCACTGGAACATCTTACCATTCAGCATCGCAGGCAATTGTAGAAAAGCCAATTAAATTTTTTATAGGAAAACAGCCAAAACCAAACAATATTTGTGTATAACGAAGAGTATGGTATGATTTGTTATGTCCAAAATAGAGTTGTGTAATAATAAACACTGGTTCACGTGACTGAGTTTTCCCCCCTTAAAATACTCAATCATTAAAAAGTAGAATACAACCAGCAGGGGCATATGCTAGGATGTGGTACTGCAAAAAGAACAAAAACAAAATAAAGGAAAAACCCATTGTGTTGAACTTTGATAAATTAAAATTAAAATGTGCTATTAAAATTAAAATGTGCTATTACACTCAGAGGATCAATATGAATTAAAATATATGTAAATTTTGCATGAAGCACATGACTGATAACTGTTCTGTCCTGAGCTTTTGTTTTTTTATAGCACCCACTTCACCACACCACCAGTTTTCATGCCAAAGGAGGGTGATTGCACATGTCTGACAGAGGAATCTCACCAAAAGTGGGTAAGGTAAGCCCCGGTGGGGGTGACAACACCATAAATATCACTTATGGTCAAGTTCCTAAAATTTTGACACCAAGGGCAGAGTTCCTAGGAACTGTTAAATTTCCTGCCCAAGTACCTGGTCAGGTGTTTGCACAGATGTCCACTTGGGGCTGCCAGTAACAGATATAGGTCAGAGGTAAAATACAGCAGTCCGTATGGCAAATCCTATAGGTGTCGGGGTTCGAATCCATAATATTTTGAAATAACACCCAACAAAATGTTGACCTGGTTGATTATGTTCATTACAATGTGCAGAGATTGGCTAACCTGAGCAGGGAATACAATAAACAGGACTGTCAGACCACTCAGCGTTAAAGTCACTTGTGACAGTCCAGAGTAGGATAGACATTATCAAATGAGGAGAAGGAATTTTCTGGGATTGAAGATCCTCTGGGTGAGTGGCTAAAAGCTATCATTTTGTCATTGATTGGTAATTGACTGATAACTGGCCACATTCACAGCTGTATTGACTTATTGTGGATGTTGTCTATCCCATGTTTGAGGACTCCAATTAACAGATTGAAAACAGCGACACTAAGGGAAGAACATGCAGTACGACCCTATCAGTTGCCAGTGTCGGTTGGGTTCGGTGATGAATCAGGTGAGCTGGCTTCATGGCTGAACCAAGACATAAATTGCCCCCAAATGTTTAGAGGTAGGAAAGGCAAAATGTATATTGCAATTTTGTGTTTAAGCTTTAATGATCAAAAGAAACTGAATCGTGTTTAGAAGATAAGATGCCTGTGTTCGTTTAACGCGTTCCCATGAGGAGGCCGGCTGACGGTCTGGAAGACCCAGTATCTGACCGACTGAATGGGGACGACAGCTGATTTAGCGCTGACTCGACCACAGGACACCATCCCAGTTAAGAGGGAAAAGCTGAAAGGCTGAGTATCACTCTAGAGGGAACCTGTGGGACAGCAGGCTGAACGAAACATGTTTTTTGTTCACACATTGAAACGTGTGAAAGGAGGGAATGTTGGGATTGAAAATGTTTGATTTCTATTACTAAAATAAGCGGTTATAATCATTTTCATACACACATTGCAAATGTGCCCATTAATAAGTTGGCACTAAGTCTTTTGAATTTCAAAAGCTTCGTTCGACGTGACTGTCCGGACTGATATATTGTAAGAAATGACATAGAGGTGCAGAGGGATAACTGCAAACATGCTTACACACATAGATTATGGTTAGAATAAGTCTCTGGATCAGAGAGTGCCGAACATGATATTCTAAATCAACTTTGAATCACTAGAAGAACAATGGATAATAACATTAGATTATCAAGGCTAGGCAGAGAGGTGTTTTGCTTTTCTGTCTCTTACAGACGAGGGAGCAGATACCAGACGAGGTCACGGAAATACGAGGATGCTTCGGCGCAGACACCAAGACTACCACGTCCGTGCAGGAGGAAGATAGCTCCTTTAATCTATGTTTTTGTCTTACTATATAATGTTGTACAGCACACTTGAGGGTCATCCTTTTTGTGAAACATGCTGCTGGTTCACATAGAGGTCCACAGCGCTGTGTAAACTTGTAATTTCAACTGCCAAAAGCAAAGTAAATCCTTTTTTAAAAGACAAACCTTTCTCCTGAGATTCCTTCCAAAAATTCTGAACATGACAACTGTCAATATAGAGTGACATTAACTTGTGGAAACAGCAACTTTGCTTTTAAGAGTGTTCTGAAGTCAGTGAAAGAGTGGGTCATATATGGGCAATTTCAACAGGCCATTACTTTAAAAGGCAAAATCAAGGTGACTTGAAATTGACTTAGTATCCCCGTGAGAGTGTACACTCTTGATCTAGAATGAAATTATCCTGTGGAAACAGCAATTTTCATTTTAAGAGCATTCTGAAGAAATTGAAAGAGTATATCATATATGGGGAAATTCAAAGGGGCCATTAATTTGAAAGGCAAAATCAGAGCAACTTGAAATTGGCATGGTTTTACTGTGGGGTTGGACATTGTTGATTTAAGGTGAAAAATTATCCTGTGAAAACAGGAATTTTCCTATTTAGAGCATTTTGAAATCATTGAAAGTTAAGTCATATATGGGCAGTTTGAAATGGCTTTTATTTTGGAAGGCAAAATCAGACTGACTTGAAATTGACATGGTATCACTGTGGGGTTGGATACTGTTGATATAAAGTGCAACTAGTCTTTGGAAATATAAGTTTTGATTTTAAGAGCATTCTGAAGTAATTGAACAGATCACTGACTTCGTCAGCTGGTGCGAACAGAACCATCTTCGCATCAAAGCTTTATTTTATTCTAGTCTACTCTATTGAAAGAGTAGTTCAAAAATGAAAATTCACAAGGCTTTTACTTTGGAATCCAAAATAAGATGGCCTTGATATTGACAGGGCGCTACTAGGATACAGGGTTGTGTCATGTGGATCTAACATTAGAGTGTGTAAACAAGACTAAATTATATGTTATTATGTTCTTAACATATCTGTTAATTCACTCGAAGTTGGCTTATATTTTGAAGTCAGGTTTCCACATCTCTTCCCGTAATACTTTGAATACACAGGGAACAGAAAACAAACTGGAGGCTAGCTTGACTGCAATTCTCAAACTGGAGGCTGGCTTGGCGCCAGTTTTGAGACCTGCCTTAGACCTGCACTGATAATGGATCCAATGGTTTTCACCCCTCAGCAGTATAGCTCGAGAATGAAGTGAGGTAAAATTTACCAATTCAAAAGATGCATCTACAAAATATCTAGTCATTGTGACTTTGACCTCAAGTTCTGAGGCTTTTTAGGATTTTCACATTTCTACCACAGATGCATCTACTAGGAGGCTGAGGGGTAGCACTGGCGGCTACCAGTATTTATCTCTGTAAGAACCTTTATCAAACTGAACTCACCACCCGGCTGAAGTATTTATCCAAGACCTCCACAAAGTTATGAACCAGCTCGTAGATGGACAGCTCATTCTGTGAGAGTAAAGAGGAGAAACACGTCCTGTTGACCATTGAAAGGACGAAAGAGGTGTAAAATGCCTCCGATCACACTCACCTCACTGTCTGTGATGCCCACCACGATATACAGAGCAGCATACTGGCGGTAAACCAATTTAAAGTCTTTGTACTCCACAAAGGAACACTGCAAACAGAGAGGGGTTATAAACATGATATTGTTATATTATTTATTTGATCTAAACAAGACTGGGAACTCGCAGACAGACACCTGATCTTTCTTGCGGCTCAGGCAGTAGCGTACTACATCGGCCTCAAGAGCTGCTCTTCTGCTCAGCTCCACAGAGTGATAATACCTGGACAGCCTGGTCTGACCCTGTCGGTTCACCATTAGCACGAACTTGATCATTATCCGATCGGTTGCTGGCTGCAGAGGAATCGTAAAGTCAGACCATTGCCCCATGGTATGAGATATTGCAATCTAATACCTCACTCGTTTGTTTTACAAACCTGAACGTTTGTTTTACTTACCGCCAGCTGTTAGCTTGTGGCAGTTGCTACATTAACTCCATCAAACGGGCTAAAACGGGAACTTCTGTTAACGAGTTTTCGCCCCAATCTAATGTTATTTTAAACACAATGCTGTCGGTTTACAGGATTAAAGTAAAATTACTGTAAAGTACTGTAAAGGTAAATAAATACTAGCGAAAGAGGACATTCAACAATATACAGCCATAGCATTTGGTACGCATGCGCAGACAGGTGCATTCCAGGGTAACAGTTATTCCCTACATCTGAACGCAAGTACTTTCTACTTATACTTTCAAAACATGCTCGTAATATAAGCTTTAATACATTTGAGGGAGTAATTATTCCACGCAAACAATCCAAAAGAAAATCCCATTAATGTTTGCATTTTTCTCCTTTGAAAGATGCATAATACATACTTTGTACATAATTTATTGTACTGTACTTACGGTTTAAAAATGCTCGGTACGATCCTGGACGGGGTTTTAGATTCAGCTGTTTAGAAGCTGTGGTTGTGGTACTTAAAAGGAGCAATAGACAATAACCACAATGTATCTGCTAGCTAAAGGTAAAACTGCTGTATTTCCCCATACATCTTAATATATGCTCCGTTAAAGAGTTATATTTTACTACCCTTTCTTTGAGCAGTGAATGTTCCATAATATATTTGGATAGCAGGAAGGGAAAAGGAGGATGGATGTGTCCCGTCAGGCATTGCGGCTGGGTTCTCCCACCTTGACCATCGGATCCGAGAGAGGTCGGGGGAGAGAACAGCAATGGCGGCCGGTTAGCTCTATACACAAACACCAAGTCCCCAATCAGCCGCGCGCACCACATCGCTCCGAGGAAAGCCAGTTTTACACAACACAGCGGAGCCAGCGAGACAGGGACAGAGCTGAGACACGGGCTTTAGGGGGCGGGGATCCCTCCGCGGATCGTTGCTGCCTGTGGAGACTTTCCTTCTACTTAAAAAAAAATTATGGACGAACACCCCGGCGGAGGAGGGGTCGGAACGAGTGCCCCACGACAGCCTCCGCCACCGCAGCAGCAGGGGAATAACAGTAGTGCTAATCCGCCAATTGGAGGCGGTGGTGGCGGAGCAGTCATGGTACCACACCAGCCCGATGAGCTACCTCGGCCGCAGCAGCAGTACACAATCCCCGGCATCCTGCACTATATCCAGCATGAGTGGGCCCGGTTCGAGATGGAGAGGGCGCACTGGGAAGTGGAGAGGGCCGAGCTTCAGGTTAGCCCTCCCAACTTAGCACTGAATTCCAACCATGCTAACCCCCAACAACAACAACAACATGGACAGTGTGTAGACAATTGGTTTTAGAGAGGTAGTTGCAGTGTTGCAATATTTAATTTATTATTTCATCGATTAGTTAGGCATGGCCTTGATTTAAACGGGAGGCAAAAGCAGCTAAACTCGATATTTGTAACCCGACTGGCTAAGTGGCTAAGCTAAAGGGTCAGCTCTGGGTTACCGTTAGCTCGACTAGTGGTAGCGCTTAGCTTCAGTCGGTGTCAGACAAATTTAGCAGGTAGCCGAAGCTGTTGTTGCCGTTCTCCTCTGTTAGCTGATTTGTTCATATGAAGCTAAAACGTTCCCACTGTGGCTACTGAGTTCAGGCGCTAGCTGGTAATAGAGAAGTGAATCCAGCCGACTGTCAGCTATCTAATCTCAGTCATTTTGGTTTGTCACGCTAGCTGTTAGCAGTGTTAGTCGCTAATGTTGCTTTTGAGTTAACAGCTGGGCCCGAGCGACTGTGATTCACAGCACATAAGGAAAAGAAATGAAATTGGAGGAAAACTGCGTAACCATTTAAAAGTTATTCCTTTAAGTATGAATGATGACATAAACTCAGTAGTTAACTTACTAAGTTAGTATTGAAAGATAAAAAATTTGTGACATCAAAATATTATAAACATGAGATACAAAATAAAAAAAAATGTTCAAGCCCGTATATTAGTCGTATCTTACTGTCATGTTTGATAAAAATCAAATTTATAAATTAAAATTAAATTTAAGAATAAAAACACTGGCATTTTAAAATCATAAGATAAAAGGCAGGCCTTAACTATCAGCATTACAATTGTAAGTTAGGAGGGTAAGACAATCAGATAAAAAGAGCATTAAAAAGCTTTTAGCAGGCATGATAAAATGAGAGTATTTCTAGTTTTTCACAGTCTCAGGTGGTAGAAGTACTTTCACCTCAGTAAATGGGCTGCCCGTGCACTTAAGATGATCAAATGTAATCACCTATTGAATGTGGCATGTACTAATATGATAATCAGTGGCATTAAGTAACAAACAAAGACAAGACATTTTTAAACCATGTAGATTTATTTAAATCCAGACCCGTGTAGAGTGCCTTTGGTTTCCTTGTAAAAAGAATACCGTGTCTTTGTTTTGTAATAAACAAGGCTAATTCTTTGACATATAAATGAGTAATTATCAAATATTTTATCTGTTTTGAAAGGTATCCATGTAAGATCAGTTTAGTGTTACATAGACTTGGACTAACTAATAGTTTCTTGAAGCTATTTATGACCACTGTTTAGAGTGTATTCACCATGAGGCCATCAAATAGGGTTATGGCAGAACCATTCTATGTATTTATTTGAACAATAGTATTTGCTTTTAAGTTTCCTGCTACTTGTATAGTTCCTGCTTTAAGAAAATGTTTTAATTCACACAATTATTAAATACATAGAAAATGTATGTAATTTAATACTGCTCTGTATGTGTCTCCGATGGTGTAGTGGTTAACACATTCGCTTGGTAAGAGAAAAAAGGGCACAGGTTTAATTTTAGCCGGCAACATAAATCCTCTTTTGGGTTGGGTCAGGAAGAACATCTGGAGTCAAAAAGAAACTTTGTCAAATCAAACATGTGGAGCTACCCGCTGTGGCAACTCTTTGTATCAAGCCTTTGTGACAGGAAAGCAGTCGAAAGTAGATTTTTTACATACATTGTTCTATATAAAGCTCTAATACAGGTCGGAATCACCAGACACCCCACGATACAATATTATCACAATACCTCAGTGATGATATGATGATATTGCAATTTTGAACATTTTGTTTGGGATATACTGAGTATTGCCATAACATATATTATGATTTGTGACCTTTTTTGACTGCAAATAATTTCCTCAAAGTTGAACTTTGTTAGTATTTGGTTTTATCCAGTAAAATAAAGTTGTCTCACTTCACTTATTTATTTATTTGCTTCAAAATGAGAACGTCAATAGCAACACCTGGTATAATTGTTGCTATAAGATGGATTCAGTCTGCTGTCAGTCTGGAATTGAATGGGGTCAGGTTGGCAATTACATCTACTATTTCTGATAATACAGCAGTAAACTGATAAATCATTGAAAATCACACCTGTTGCTGTCTACACAGACAGAAATTCATATTTAAATATTACATTTGCCCTCTATAACCTTCCTGTTCTTTTGGAATGTAACCAGAATACAACTAGCTGGCAGCCAGTTGAGTTGAGTCTCGTCGAATTGTGTTCACTGGCAAGGACTCGTTCAGACTCATGGCAACATGTTGGCAATCTGTCTACATTTATAAACTAAACAGCAGCCATTTGCAAACTTACTGAGAGTGACTGCTGTCAGTCCAAGTAAAACTGTGACCTCTTGTTCATAGTATTCCCAAAATATTTTACTTTTATTTAATAAAATACTGATTTTGTCCCTATATCAATATAACCTTGCAATGCAGAATATCACATTACTGTCCTGTATCAATTCTTTCCCCATCCCCAGTAATGTTTAACCTTAAAAATGTAGAACAGTTCAAATAATATGTGATACTTAAAAGTAAAAACCATTCATTGAATAGATGGGGTTTTTTTTGTTTGTTTTAAAATTATAAATAGTTATTACTAAGTACAGCAGAAAGCAGTCAGGCTGCTACAAATCACGCCCATCCAGTTGCAGCTGTGTCACCAAGCCTGTGTTATTTTAAAAAAGCTACCTTAGTTTGGAAAGTGGAAGCTTTTGTGTCTATATCTGTGAATACCTCTGGGCTTGACCGATTGCCTTGTACTTTGGGACCAGTTAATTAAAAGCCACCATCAATCAAATTTATCACCTTGCAGGCAAGCTCGGAATTGGACTTTGTTCTGTTCTTGTTATTTTTTGAGTTGGCATGTTTATCAGTACCCGAGCGCTCTCCTCTTCCCATTGGCAAAGAGTCAAACTTGTATTGCAGCGTCACTGATGCTGGATGCCTTAAGCGTGACTCTGTCAGAGCTCCTGATAAGAGTGGATACCAGCTGCTGATGAAGCTTGAGCGGAACAAATAAGTGGAGGTGTGAACTTGGTGTGCAGAAGAAGGGGCCAGTGAGGAATTATTGGACACTGGTTTATTAATACAAACTGTCAATGAATGAATGTGAGTTAGTATAACCCACACTCTATGAACTCACAGTGAAAAGAATGAAATGGTGTAGACAGGAGACAAATTTAAAGGAACAAGCAACAAAGTGTCTCAGTAAGGTGTTAGCCCCACATGTGAACATCACCAGAACATCTTCAGACATTTTTGATCCTCAAAGATGTCTTGTCTTGATTTGGAGTGAGGCTTGCATGGTCCCAAAACATACCAACGGAATGCCTCCCACAGCAAAATCAGAGCTCAGCCCAAATGGCTGAGATTTCATTCATAGTTTCTCCCTGTTCGTATGAATTTGTATGATTAGATGTAGTTGTTTTGAAGTTACTTGTAAGAAGATTAGATTTTAGCCACATTTTTTGTTGTTGTTGTTGTTGTTTTTTAATTTTCTTATTCTCTCATCCAAGCCAGTGTAGGGATGAACTACAGGATGCACAACCCTTTTGAACAGACAAGTAAAAAAGACAGAATATTTAAAATTTGTGGTCCTGGTTTATTTGACATTTTTCTGTGCTTTGTTTTCTGCCCTTTCATTTGAGCTTGGTGATTGTCAAAACAAGATATCCAGTTAGTTTACATAGCTCACAGACCACATTGTATGTTAACTGTTCATCTGCATATTAATGCAACTTCTGGGGGCTTATTGCAGATGTTTCTCTGTGTGAAACAACGAAGTTTCGATGGAGCAGCTACAAAGTTTGTTTTTCTTCACATCAGAGTTTTCTTATCAGGTGGTTTGATAAAAGACTCACTAGCTTTTTCCCAGTAAAAATTTTTAATGGTGATTTCAGGAACAGCGCTGCTGTTTTTGGATGTTAGAAACACGTTTTCTTCCATGCTACCTGATTTCACCATCTCTCTCCTGCTGCTGTTATTATCGGTGGTTTTGTTTAAATCTAGGGCTCTGTGGGCTTAATGACGTCAGACTTCTTACTCACACACTGCTCCTGAATACGTTTGTATTTCAGGTCTGTTTTAGCAGCAAATGTGGATGAAACCCTCGCATTTACATCATTTAACACATCGGCGCGCTACTGAGCTGTGCATTAAAACGAAACATCAAAGCAAAGAATTTATGCCAAGAGTTTCTTTTAAATCGAATTATTTGATGAATCGTTGCAGCCGTAAATGTCAGCATCACAGGTGTGAAATGCCTACATATAGACAACTAAGTTAAATGGGCCAGCCCAGGTCACCAATATGTGATCCAGGTTTTTGAGTCAGGATTTGAGCCATTCGCGGTCCAAATACTGGATCAGTGCATCAAGATAAAATGCTCCCTGGCAGACAGAGTTTCACTTGTGGATGTCAGAACTCTGATCCAGTTTGATGTTAGACAAGTCTCAATTCAAGCTATACAGTAACATAAGTGTCTAACTGTGTTGTTCTAAAATCCTGTCTCAATCCACACACAGGCTTTTTAATCCATTATTGGTCTAATTTGCCTAATCTTCACTCTGCTTCAGATTTGTTGGCAACAAACAGAAATGTTTCAGTTTAGTGGCTGTGACTGTTAAAATGGAAGGACTTCCTGTTTTCTCCGTGTTATGTATTCAAATTCATAATGTACTTCATAGTGTACATTGTTAGTGTGAGAACAAAAACCTGTTGGTGTTGTTTCTTTGTGGTAATCACTTGCGTTTTGGTGACATGGATTCAGCAAGTGTGTCTCTGACGTCTTCTCAGGTTCAGTGATGTGATCTAGGGTTGTCAAAAAGAAAAAGGTACTCAAATACTATTGACACTAAAAATTGCTCATGATCTTATATGCTCATTTGCAGCAATATTGATACTGACAGTGCTGTCTTCGCCTCCTCCAGATGACACACA